ATTTGTTTCTTATGTTGGGATTCCATCATGTTCCTCAGCTCCTCTCTAGATTTATTAATCATGTCTTGCACTAAAGGCACAATGTCTCTTGTTACCTGAGAAATTATTTCTGATTTCATTTTTTCCAGATCCCCTTTTGTAGCCACTTCAGTGGGTCCAGGTGGTTGAGTATCAGAGTGTTCCATCTCATTTCCCTTTGAGGTTGCTGTAGGTGATCTGGAAGTCTGGTTTTGAGACTTATTTATTTGTTTTCTCATTTCTACTGGGGGGGCTGTTGGTGCCTGCACGGATTACCTTCTTTGAGCTGGGACAGGGGCCGGGAGCAGCATTAGGGATGGTAGCCCCAAAGCCCTTTCCTGTGGGCTGTGTGCAGCGGGAGGGATGGTGGCCGGGAAGCCCCTTCCTCTGGGCCAGGAGCAGCGGGACAGAAGGTGGCCCAAAAGCCCTTTCCTCTGGGCTGGGAGCAGTGGGAGGGATAGTGGCCGCAAGCCCCTTCCTCTGGACTGGGAGCAGTGGGATGGCGGCTCAGAAGCCTGTACCTCTGGGCTGGGAGCAGCAGGACTCAGTATCGTCGTCTGGTGGTCCGGTTTCCTCTGCATCTTTGTAGTGTGGAATCAGGTGGCTGTACAGAGGAGTGGGGAGGAGGGGTCCAGTGGATTGTTTCTGGGGTTCCGCGCCACATCAGTTTATTTAAATGTACAGTAAAGCCAGAACTTACAAGCAGAGAAAAAATAAGCAGTACATATTAGTTCAGAGATAAAATTGCAGAGTGGTTATAAAATAGTAATTAAAATGTGAACTCTAAAAACTTCTGGAATGTGGCTAATAGTGTATCCAGAGGAAAATTTATGGGTTATAGGCTTTAGTTGCCAAATGAGAGAGAAGGAAAATAAATGAATAAATCACAATTTCAGCAAGGTAGGAAATGTTTTAAAAGGATAAAAGAAAAAGCCTGTTGTAGTGTAGCTTCTCCTAAAGGCAGAACGTGGAACAAAGATTTATGTGTAGGAATTTATGTAGGAGTGTGGTCACAGGGACAGAGTGAAGGACATAGGGAGGAAAACTGAGAAAGGAAATCCTATTAAAAGAAAAACTTGGGGGCTGGGGATTTAGCTCAGTGGTTCCAGCGCCTGCCTATCAAGCGCAAGGATCTGAGTTCGATCCCCGGTACCAAAAAAAAAAAGAAAAACTTTCTCCGGGGATTTAGCTCAGTGGTTTTGGCACCTGCCTCACAAGCACAAGATCCCGAGTTCAATCCGTGGTACCAAACAAAAAAAAATAAAATAAAAACTTTAAACAAATTAAATCTAACAATTCAGTTGAGTAAAGAACATTCAGTATTCGGGCAGTCCCTAGAACCAGGATAGGTTCTATAAAACTGGGGCTGCCATGTCCTGCTTGGTTGACACTTATAGACAGAAAAAGGTAAGTGCTGTACAGAAAACGGAAATGAGGTTCAGAGATAGCTCAGTTGATTATTACCTGGTGTTTGCTTTATTTGAACCTGGTTTGGCTGAAGCTCGGCCACTATTGTCAGATGAGACTCAGCTATATGTTAATTTAGGTTTTCTTTATGTACTGAGTCAGATTGCAGGTCATACATGTAAGAACTCAAATATGTTAGTAGGGTGGCTTTCTTAGGCCAAAGTCGTTTGATTTAACAAACCAGTAAAAGGATGCGTTGTCAGGCTGGGCCCTCAATAAGCTGGTCATCTTGTTGGGTTGTTGAGGAGCCTTGGAGTCTCAAGGATGTATCTCTGGGGGACTACAGGGGAAAACATTTTTCCATTCTGTCCCCTTGGTGAAGGGTAGCCCCAAAGACATTACCTACCATGCACTACAGGGTCCTGCAGGTGTCACACACAGGACACCAGGGAAAGCTAAGGAGGTGAACCAGGTATACATGGTATAGGTCCTTGAGGAGGTATTGGTAGGTTGTAGCTTTACAAACCTGGTTGGTGCCTCCATGGAAGTACACAAGGCAGTGATGTGGCACATTCCCAGTCAGAAGGGGGAACAGTATGAGGAGGCAGTTTATACCTCGCTTCCAGCTCTGTTTCCTCAAAGTAAGTGTGGGCTGTGCAGGAGGCTGACCTGCCAAACCTGCACAAAAGCATTGGGCTTCTTGAGGACGCTCAGGAGTTTGAAGGATCAGGCAAGATGTGGGGGAGTGCTGCGTGAATCGGGGAGTACTGCGTGACTCCCAGCCCAGCCAGTCTCATTTCTCTGAAGTCTGTTCGAGGATAATGCTGGTTTGCAGAAAATGAATTCAAAGATTGTGGTAATGTTCTGTTTCTTGAACTGAATTGTTGCTGCGTAAGTCTTTGTTCTTTTATTCTTTAGACTCTATTCTGTATACACTCTTTTGTGTGATTGTTCCAGGTATAAAATCCTGGAGTTCCTGGGAGCTACCAGCAGTGACTTAGCAAGGAGGAGTTCTGGGCACTGAGCTAGTGAGTGGATTGCTCTCTTCTTCCTCGGCAGCTCCTGTCACTCTCCTGACTAGATGCTGCCTGTCTGCACCTCAGATCTTCTGTGAGGGTCTGTGTTGCTCCAATAGGGATGGCTTGTCTCACATTTTCTCTGTTTCTCCTTAGCTCCAGCCCTTCTCTGAGAGGGACACTAGGTGATGGCAGCCAGGCTCCTCACAGCCTGGCCTCAGGTAAGCTCTGGATTCGTCAAATTGAGGTAAACTGTGAAGGGAGTTGATGAGCCTTGGGATGAAAGCCTGGGACTTGTGGGAGTGGTGTCAGGGCGGGGTTGTTGCAGAGGCTGGGACAGTGACCAGCAGAGGCTGCGGGAGAGTGAACCTAGAAGGCAGCGCACAGTCTTCTGCACACCAGGGACTCTGCTCCTCTCTACAGGAGAGCCCTTGGCAGAGGGCTCCAGGTGTGGAGGCTGCCCATAGGGGATGCTCTATGCATAGATGAGAATGAAGGTTTGAGATTCCCAGTGTCAGGGCTGTAGGAAAAGAGGAGGAGCAGATCAGGTCAGTGAGAAGGATGGCTGTGCCTTTAATTAAGGGGGAAGGAGAAGATGATGGAAATTGGTATTAGGAGAGGGGAAAAGCAGGAAGTCCTGTGGGGCAGAGTGTCCTCTTGTGTCCTTATAAAGCTGCTTGGGGTGCAATAGCTCAGACTTCAAATTTCTGGTAAAATCCTTCAGCCCTCTTCAAAAATAAACCAACAAACCAGATTTTGCATACACTTTCAGGAACATCATGGCTCCCCTGAGCCTTATCCATGGACCTCCATGGACTTCAGGTTGGGAATAATAGTCTTGGTAACATGGTTTGAGGTGTACCGTGCTACAGACTCCATACCATGCCCATTGGACAGGTTTTTTAATCCTGACATCCACTTCTGAGAGGTGCTGTATTGTATACTCATTCTGCCAAAAAGTTCATGGAATTATTATGTGATTGTAACTGCTCAGCTATATGATAGCTGTGAAGGGCCCGGGTTTTAGCTCAGTGGTTCCGTTGCCTGCTTTGCAAGTGCAAGGTCCCAAGTTTGATTCCTGGTACCAAAACAAAACAAAACAAAAACTAAATATATGATAGCTGTGAACCAATGATCAGATTTGTGACAGTTGTGTAGAATAATTTTCAAGGGAGATTCAAAAGCAAGAAAGTTAAGAAAGAATCTACTTACTTGTTCAAGTGATGTGGGTTTCATCAAGGAAAGTTGCTGGTGAGGAGGAGGAATCCAATGCAAATAATGCCTCAGACATAAAAATCTTTAGGACACAGAGTCAAAGATTTAGGGGATGAGTAGAGAAGCAGGAGGGTCAAGAATGCCCCCCAGGCTTCTAAATGAGGTTTCCTGTGTGGGTGGTGTGAACACCAGCTGAAGAATGAATTCAGGAGGAGGTGCTGACTTGCTGGGGAAAAGGGTGTTGGGATCATACAGGGAAGGCCATAGATTTTGTGCAGTAAAGTTACATGACTTATCTGAGGTTACACAAAGAGGACTCATAGAAACACCTAGAGGTTGGAATAGAATTGTTGATTGTCAAGAAGTAAATCTAGGCAGAGAGATGAGAGGCAGATCCACCAAGTGAGTCTACAAAGCTGTTACAGAAGGCTGAGATAGGCAGGAGTGTCAGCCAGGTGCTACAGCTACCCAGGAGGGAGCATTTGGGCCTGAAAGTGCCATGCAGCATCAGCCCTGAGGAGCAGAGCTTATGCTGACCACATAGCCTAGTGCCAAAAAAAGGAGAATCCAGAAGGGTGGCAGAGTAGTTGGCCAGCAGGAAAGCTGGTCTCTCTTCTTTCCCAGACCTTCTTGGAGAAAGAGTAAAAATTTGGGAGAAGATGTGGGAGAGGGCCAGAAATGCTGGGTGTTCAGGGAAACCCTGGCCTGGGTAGCTCTGAATTACCTTGGCTGACTGTGCTGGAGCCCTGATTGGGAGTCTGTGATGGGAATTAGGTGGCAGATGAGGTAGAAGCCCGGACTGTCCTTTGGGGTGGCTTCTAGTGTGAGAATGAGGGCAAGATATAGGGAGTCAGGCAGGGCTGAGGTTAGGCACAAGAGAGTTCAGACCTCGTAGAGCTGCCGTGGGAACTCCTGGTGAATTCGTCCTGAGCCTGTCAGTGAGGGAGCTGTCTAACAGAGCAGAGTTGTTTTAGGAGAATTTGCTTATGGAAATTCTTTTATCTTTTAGCCTAACTTATATTATCTTTTATAAGTGTAAAAAATAAGGTTTTTCTGCTGTGAGGGGAGTCAGATATTCCATAATTTACTCTCTTGGTGCTTTTTCGTACTTTTCCCTTGCTATTAATTATGTGATCTTTACAAGGTCCCTCCCCGAGCCCTTATACTGCCCTCTGCCCCTCACTTAGGGCCTGATCCATGGAATTGGCCCTAGGGCAGCAGGAACCTGTTGTTTCAGAAGTTGGTGACCTTTGAGGATGTGGCTGTGTACTTCACTCAGACGGAATGGGATGGCCTGTCCCCTGCACAGAGAGCCCTGTATAAGGATGTGATGCTGGAGAATTATGGACATGTGACTTCCCTAGGCAAGTCTTCTCTCTCCCTGGGATTTACACTCTACCACTGGGGTTTTCTGGGTCCCTTTTCCCTGACAGGATGGAGGTGGAATATCTGATAATCCTTCACTGAGTAGGAACCCCAGGATTGTTCCTGATCTCCTTGACAAATTCACTGGGCCAGTAAAACAAGGCACTGGTATATGCTTCTAATCTACCTTGTGGAAGCTGTGTTTTGTTTGTTTTTTTTGTTTGTTGGTTTTGTTTTGTTTTGTTTTTGTACCGGGGATAGAACTTGGGTCCTTCTGCTTTCGAGGCAGGCGGCAGAACCACCAAGCTAAATCCCCAGGCCAGGAAGCTGTGTTTTGGACACAGTCTGAAAAATAGTAGCTTCCTATTCCATGGTGGCATCTTCAGATCTCCACCTTATTTTGAGTCTTTTTAAGGATTTCAGTGGACTCTGAACATTTTAGATTCCACTTTAGGCAGACTGTCCCAGCTTGCCCTGCCTGAGATCTCCTGGGTTTGCAGTCTATACCTTTCCTAAGCCCTCCCTCCCATATCCCTTCCAAAGCTCTGGCCTTTCTCACTACCACCCTCAGTCTCTTCCAGAGCTCTTAGCCTCCCTCCCCATTGCTGAGGCAATTTGAGAAGAAGCTTAGGAACTCATCTGTGGGAGATTATTCATGTCTCTCCTCTTTCCTTCTCCTGAACCAGGGTTTCCACTTCTGAAACCGGCTGTGATCTCACACCTGGAGAGAGGAGGTGAGCTGGAGGGCCTATCTCCTCTGGCCATTGTGACTGGAACAGGCCCTCAGGGCCTCTGGACTGGTAAGGAAGGGACATAACTGCCCAGCAGCACACTGTATAAACATGCCACATTTATTGACCAGCCATACAGAGTAAAGTTAATACATTTTGATGATTTATAGATGGGTCTATTATGTCTGTTTTCATACACATTTCTGTAATTCCAACAACAGATCTTTTTTTCAAATACCTTATTCTAACTCTTTTCAGTTCTAACTTTGGAATCCTGCCTTTCTTACACAAAACTAATGGATTTAGTAATTTTTGGAGTCCTTGCTATTTTCTAAGCGCTGATCACTTAATTTGGAGGATATAGAACTAACAGCCTTTTCACACACAAAGGTGGGAGTAGTTAAAAGTGTAGTCTTTAGAGCAGGTTTTCCTATGTCCTGTTCCAACTAGATTACTTTCTAGTTATGTTACTTTGAGCCAGCTCAATTATTTGAGACCGCTGAGTTTCAGTGATCTCATCTTTGAAAGTGGGATAATAATAGTAATAATAATAATAATAATAATAATAAGGCAATACTGCTAGTCTTACAAGTTGAGGATTAAATGAGGTATCATGTATCAAATGCCCAGCATATGTGCTCAATTAAATATTTTTATTTTGGGGCATGGGGACAGAGCTGTACATAGCAGAAGTAAAGAGGAAGTAAAGAGGAATTCTGTGCTTCTCCAATGTTGATGTTAAAATGTCTCATTTGAGAGGATCTTAGAAATAAGCAGATTATCAGTGAGTAAGTTTTGGGAAGAGCCAAGAATCTACATTTCTAGTTGTAAAGTCCTTAATGATTGGATCTCATTCTTTTTTTTTTTTTTCAGTGCTAGAAATTGAACCTAGGGCCTTGCACGTGCTAGGCTGGTGCTCTACCACTGAGCTACCTCCAACTCCATTGCAGCAGATGGTCCTGAAATCTTTAAAGTCTCTTTGTAGGTCATTATGATTTTAGCTGAGACTAGAAACATTAATCTCATCCATGAATACAGGTTAATAGGATTGAGGGGTGAGGAATCATACAGGCTCTAGTTCAGGCAGAAGAGGAAGGACAAAGCATGAGGCCCATGACAGCGTAGTTGACTTTCTTTTTTAAAGCTTTCTCCTAAGCCCCATGTGGTGACTTGCATTTAAATCTCATTTGCTGGAACTCTGTCATTCTCACTGCAAGAAAAGATGGAAAATATAGACTTTTTTTTCTTATTCTTCTTAATACTGAGGGTTAAACCCAGGGCCTACACACAGCATTGTTTTGAGACAGGTTCTTGCTAAGTTACTAAGTTGTCCAAGCTGGGCTCAAAATTTCAGATCTCCTGCTTCAGCTTCCCAGAGTGCTGAGATTACAGATGTATACCACCACACTGGGCCAGAAATTTATGTCTTAATAGTTTTGGAGGCTGGAAGTCTGATATCCAAGCACAGGCAGATCTGTGTCTGGTGAGGGCCTGCTTCCTGGTTAATAGGCAGCTATCTTCTGTCTGTGTCTTCACATGGTGGAATGGAAGGGAACTCTCCATGATCTCTTAAAAGCACACTGATCTCATTCATGAGAGTCCTACCAAAGGGCCCACCTTCTAATATATTCACACAAGAGGTTAGGACTTCAACGTATAAATTGGGGGAGTAGGAGACAACAGATATTTACTTTATAGCAGCAGATAAGTATTCTTTTTTTAATTTGGAAAAGATCAATATTATTTTGAAAATGCTTTCTAGGGAAAGCCAGATAAGTTGGGTTTATTGAGGGCAGTTTTAATGAAATACTGAAGCAGGGGCCAATATTATGTATGGTTGAAGAAAAATGAAAGATGAAAAAATAGAGGCAATATTTTGGGGCCAACTTTTCGGTTGGGGACAAATGTAGAGAAAATTTGGGGACAAATATAGAGATCAGTACCTCTAAAGACTATTGAGATTATAAAAAGAATTTTAGGGAATGATCAGTTGTAGCATTAGAGGAAGAGATGGAAGGAAGGGCAAAGTTAATGCAACAGTATTCTAAAGGGGATAGGAAGAGATGGATGAAATTGGCTTTAAGCAGAGCTTTTCTAAAGTAGGGAAAAAAGAAGAATTTTGGAAAGCCTAATATTTAAGTTCTGAGGAACAAAACAAAATTCTTTTTTGCTTCCTGATGCTTCTGACACTTATCTCCAGTGTTGTCACATGTTATTAGGTCCTGTGCCTTTTCTTTCTTAAATATTTTCCACTTTTATTAACAAAGGACTCAATACCATGGGGACGAGAGTATAGAAGAGAATGGTATGATGGCTAAAATGCTGATCTGGTGGACAAGACCTGGAATTTTATGTACTGCTGACACTTTTAACAATCAACATAATGGTTAAGGCCCTGACTTAGGCAGAGTGTGACTGGTATCCTTCTTAATCATTAATTTAAAATTTATAATATTGATAAGTGCTCAAAACAGTACAGAAAGTGTCTTAAGTGGGAGGAGGGGGAGTCTACCATACTTCATATGCCAGTTAACTCAGTTCCTTATGTAATCTTTTAGATTAGAAGTTTTCTAAGCATATGCAAATATATATATGTATATATCTGTCCTTTTTTGAACACAAATGGCATCTTCTCTGTTTCTCAATTTATTTTTCCAGTAAACAGTGTGCCTTAGACAGCTTTTCATTTTGGTATATATAGATGTTATTTTACCAGCCACATATTACACATACTACATCCACTTTAAGGATGAACTTTAAGTTCTTCAACTTAGTCTGGTGATATTAATGAGCCCCTTGATTGTTTTGATCCTTTAGAGTATAGTTCTTTTTTCCTAGCATGTTTCTTATATGATATGTTGTGTTTTCTATTTTTATAGTAGATATTGATATACAGACAAACAATAATTTGACAAAGGAAATGTATGAAGAAAAAGATAGCACATCATTTGAACTTCCGAAGGACTTTTCCCTGGAAACAGACACTTTAGAAGCCTATATGCCACAGCAACAACAGGAAGTCCACTCAGCAGGAACGTTGACAAAGGAAAACAGCAATAGCATGGATGGAACAGTGAAAGATGAAACAAGCTCCATGGAGGAGTGTTCCTTTAATAACAGTACAAACTTGTTTCAGCATCATAGTATCTCCACTGAAGAGCAGCACCCTGGTTGTATAGGACTGATGAAAGCCTTCAGCTTTGACACAGAACTTATTAAGCATGAAATAATTAATACTGTGGAAAGTACTTTGAAATGTGAAAATTTTGTGGAAACCTTCACATTTGACTCTCAACCTAGTCAGCATCTAGAAAACTATACTGTAGAGAAGCCTTACCAGTGTGTGGAATGTGGCAAAGCCTTCAGTGTTAATGCAAAATTAATTTGGCATCAAAGACTTCATAGTGGGGAGAAACCCTTCAAATGTTTGGAGTGTGGGAAATGCTTCAATTACAGTTCCCATTATATCACACATCAGACAATCCACAGTGGGGAGAAGCCCTATCAATGTAAGATTTGTGGGAAAGCCTTTAGTGTTAATGGGAGTCTTAGTAGGCATCAGAGGACCCATACAGGAGAGAAACCCTATCAGTGCCAGGAGTGTGGAACTGGCTTTGGCTGTAGTTCTGCATATATTACACACCGGAGAGTCCACACTGGAGAGAAACCTTATGAGTGCAGTGATTGTGGGAAAGCTTTCAATGTTAATGCAAAATTAATTCAACATCAGAGAATCCACACTGGAGAGAAACCTTACGTGTGCAGTGAGTGTGGGAAAGGCTTCAGGTGCAGCTCCCAGCTTAGGCAGCATCAGAGTATCCATAGTGGAGAGAAACCCTATCCATGTAAAGAGTGTGGAAAAGCCTTCAATAATAATGCAAAACTCATTCAGCATCAAAGAATCCACACAGGTGAGAAACCTTATGGGTGCAATGAATGTGGAAAAGCCTTCAGTGTCAAAGGAAAGTTAATCCAGCATCAGAGAATCCACACTGGTGAGAAACCATATGGATGTAATGAATGTGGAAAAGCCTTTAGGTGTAACTCTCAGCTTCGACAGCATCTGAGGATCCATACTGGGGAGAAGCCCTATAAGTGTGATGAGTGTGGAAAGGCTTTCAGTGTTAATGCAAAACTAATGCAACATCAGAGAATTCACACTGGGGAGAAGCCTTTTGAATGTAATGAATGTGGGAAATGCTTTACTTCTAAAAGAAATCTACTTGATCATCACCGAATCCATACTGGAGAAAAGCCTTATCAGTGCACGGAATGTGGGAAAGCTTTCAGTATCAATGCCAAGTTAACTAGACATCAACGAATACATACTGGAGAAAAACCTTTCAAGTGTATGGAATGTGAGAAAGCATTCAGCTGTAGTTCTGACTATATTGTGCACCAGAGAATTCATACTGGAGAGAAACCCTTTCAGTGTAAGGAGTGTGGAAAAGCCTTCCATGTTAATGCCCATTTAATTCGACATCAGAGAAGCCACACTGGGGAGAAACCTTTCCGATGTGTGGAGTGTGGCAAAGGTTTCAGCTTTAGTTCTGACTGTATTATACACCAGACTGTCCACACTTGGAAGAAACCTTATGTGTGTAATATCTGTGGGAAAGCCTTCAGGTTTACCTTCCAACTCGGTCAGCATCAGAGTGTCCATAATGAAGGGAAATGTTAGTAATGAGAAGGATGAAGAAGCTCTGAAGGTTAATGCTGAAGTAGATCATGCATCATCAGATTCACCCTGGAGGAATACTCTAGGAAGGAAATGAATGTGGCAAAGTCTTCACATGGAAACATATTTTCTGTTTTATTCAATTTTTAATGAGGAATGTATCACTAGTTAAAAAGTAATATCTAAAGGACCGGGGATTTAGCTCAGTGGTTCCACCGCCTGCCCCGCAAGCACAAGGACTCAAGTTCAATCCCCTGTACCAAAAAAACCCCAAAAACAAAACAAAAAAATAATATCTAAAAATAAATAACTTTGTTTTATACCAACAACCAGCGAGAAAATACTGAAGAAAATATCTCCTTCCCAGCAGTATCAAGAACAGATTTTCTAGAAACATTTGTTTTGTGGAACCTATATGGTGAAAATTATAATTCTCCACTGAGGGCTACCAGAGGAAGCTTGAATAGAGAGAGAGAAAAAAATTGTGTTCTTATATAGAAAAACCCATATTATAAAGATGTCTGCTCTACCTAAACTAATTTATTTCTGTTTAATTTTTGGCACAAGCATGTATTTTATAAAGAAGAAAAAGATTTCACTTTTATGAAATAGGAAACTTCAAAGTATCAGATGAATGCTAGAAACAAAATGTTGATAAATTGATCATTTGTATGTTTTTGTTTTAAATACTCCCAAATAAAGTTAAAAAGGTAAAGCATAAAAGTTGGAAATTTCTTTGTAAAATTTATGGAATAAAATTGTATCTAATATATACAGAAGTCTTACAGTTAAAGGGAAGATATGTTGCTTAATAAAAACCAGCAAGTGGGGCTGGGTAGCTCAGTGGTGCCGCTGCCTGCCTTGCAAGAGCAAGGTCCTGAGTTCAGTCCCTGGTACCACAAAAAAACACAGCAAGTGACACTAACAGCTTTAAAAAAATGTAAAAATGACTATTAAGGTAAAAAGAAGTGTTCGTCTCAGTAGTACTCCAAGGAATGAAGATTGGAATTTTTTTGACACATTTGTGTGTTATCTGTGCACATAGACTACTGTGCTCTCAAAAATGACATTTACTGTCTGTAAATAGATGCATCACATGTAAATATAAACACCATAATATATTAAAGCATTCCTATTTTGTAGTAAGTGCAACTCCTCTGCAAACGTAATTCTTGAAGTTCTGGGAGAAGGTATCTATCAACCTTGGGTTCCTACTCTTTTTAGTGCTTGTCAGGGTCCCTGGCTCTTGGAAATCTTAAGATACTCTTTAGATGAGAATCTTCCACTTCTTTAAAACAAATAAGTGAAGTTGCTATGAATGACAGTAAGTGATGAAGGTGGAGAATTGAAGAATGCATGCCCTGTCTAAAGAGGGCAGCCTCTGCTCAGCAGCTTCAAGAGACAGTTGGCAGGTATAGGATTAGTTTTCAAAAAGTCAGAAATTGAGTTTAAAAAAATCTGAAATATTTGTCTTTTTTCTTCCTCCCCTCCCCATATTGAGGTTAGGATTTATTGTTCCAGAACCCTTGAACAGTTAGGAGGGGAAAAGTCCATTTTTAGGTAATAAATTTCTGCCTAAGTCATATAAAAATAGGGGAACACTTGGTAGAGACAGATAAAAAAGAAAATGGGTCATCACAGATTTTTCTGCGTCATCACCTGTTAATGGACATAAAGGAAAACAACACTTCTGATGCCCAATGTGTGTTTTCACAACAAGCAATTCATTTGTGAACACTGTGCATCTTAGAATTGAAACCATTTCTAACAACCAAGAGTAAATGCAAAGCCCAGTTTTAAGGGCTCAGTGCCATAAGACTGTCCCCCGACAACAACAGTGGATCTGCAAGTCACCCACACTTCTGACTTGGCTACAAATCAAGGGTTCTGTGGCACTCAGTTTCAATAATTTCCTATAACAGACAAGACTCACAGACTATTACCAGTTATTATGGAAGACATCAAAGGGAACATATGAGCAGATGAGTTACGTAGGGCAAGGCCTGGGGGAGTGTGTGTGTGTGTGTGTGTGTGTGAGATGTCCCTAAGGAATTGAGGTGCACTGCCCTACCAGTGCATGAATACATTCACCACTCCAGAACCTCTCTCATCCTAATCGTTTATGATCTTTGCAGAGATCCTATTATGTACCCATGGTGGATTAAATCATTGGCTACCAGTAAATAATTCAGCCTCTCCTTCCTAGAAGTCAGTATGTGGCTGGAATTTCCAGTTGTCTAAGCATGAGGTTGGTTCCTCTGGCAGCCATCCCCCAACCTGAAGCTACATAGAGGCACAGCCGGATACCTCATTAGCAAAATCAGGTATGAAAGGGGCTTCTTATGAATAATAAAAGATCTGCTCAAACCAACTCAGGAAATTCCGTGAGTTTTAGAAGCTTTTTATACCAGAGGGTTTTTTTTTCCTTGTGGTGGAGATTGAAACTGGGACACTCTCCCACTGAGCTCCATTTGCAGCTTTTTATTTTCTCTTCTGAGACAGTCACCCTAAATTGCCCAGGCTGGCCTCAACTTCTGATTTTCCTGCTTCAGCCTAGGATTACAGATGTGTCACCACCTGGTTCCAAATAATATTTCCTATTGTCACTGGCTATCATGAATCCTTACTGTAGTAGTAATGGAAATTTAAACTGCAGCAACAATATGAGTTTACAGAAAAAAAAACTTTAATTAAAAAGTAAGAAAAATAAAGGAGAACACTGCTCTGACAAAGATCAACCTTGTCCCCTAACAAGCAAGTAAGAGGAGCTAAAAAGGCTTCATAGCAACTGATGGGGACACAGGTCTGAAGAGGTGGATCAGACTGCCCTATTCACAAAAGAACAGAATAGTTTTATAGCGTGCTGTGGTGGGCTGGGGCATAGTCACTCTCAGTCCTGAATTCATAGCTCCAGAGGAATCCTCATGACTCCAGGTCTCATGAGATGACTGTTTCTGGAAGACTCTCAGTCATGTGAGGCTCTTCTAAAATCCAGTGTAACTAGGGCCATACATTTCTGGGCATAGCTAAATGTTCCTGTAAATCTTACCCTGGTATACTCAACCTTGAAGAAATGGTAGGGTAGGTAAAGTTAGGGTTAATATACCTTATTTTGCCAGTGTTCAGACAGACTTTCATAGCTATATGCAGACCCGAGAAGGGTATGACCCAGAGTTTTACAAAATGGGGGTCAAGCTTTGTTCTACTGATACTTACCTATTGGGCATCTATCAGCCCAAGCGAAGAATCAGAGTTTTGGGCAAAATCCACTTTTAAATTCCTGACTGCCTCATAAGAAAATACAAATCATGCTTTTAATGAGTAACAGATTAAGGGCCAAGGAGTTTGCCACTATGGTGGTCTTTGATTCATCAGTATGCCTTGGTCAGAAATCCATTTACTTGGTCTTGGTTGGATTGAGTATGTTGCCCCAAAGTTTTATGCACTCAGGGAAGGATTTATGAAGGTGATTGGATCATAGGAGCACTGTACTCATAGTGGATTCACCCACCAGTGAGTTAAGTGGCTGAGTGTTATGAGGTGGGGGCTGGTCAGAAGAGGCAGATCACTGGAGGCATGACCTAAATCTTTTCCCAGTCTTCACTTCTCTCTCTTCTTCTGGGCTGCCATGCTGTAAGTAGTTTTTCCTGCACCATGCCCCTCTCCTATGCTGTTTTCTGCCTTACAGCCACCAAAGCAAATCTCTAAATTTTGGGTGGTGGGTATTGTGTCTCAGTGATGAAAAAATGACTAAGAGAGATTTTGGTACCAGAGAATGGGATTTTGCTGTGACTATGACCATATGGTTTAGAAACTTTTGGAACTTTTTCATGGGAAGAATTTGGAAAAGTTTAGAGACACTGGCTAGAGAAGCCCTAGAATGCTGTAAGCTGAGCTTAATGGGAGATTCTGGTCTGAGCTCAGAAAACCAGAATGCTTATAGAAATACAGACAAAAAGACCAGGCTCAGGAGGTTTCATTTGGGAACAAAGACTCCATTGGCCTTGAGACCATGCTGTGGCAGAATTATGCTGGGGCAGAAATTTTATCTACTTTTTTCTCATGTTCTAGACTTTGTAGGGACTGAAATTAAGGGCAGCAGACTAATTAATCTGATAGAGGTAATTTCAAGGCAGCTGAGTTCAGGCTATGGCATATGGACTGTTGGCAGCTTTTAATCCAGTGTACACTAAAAATCAGTGGCAAAACACCAAAAGTTTTCACTTTTGCCAGAATGAAAAGGCTTGCAATGTTGGAGCAGAAGAGAACTTGGTTACTAAAAAGGTCTTGATTTGGTCCAATTTGTTGCTATTGCCCTACTCCTCATTTTTAGAATGAGAATGTTTACTCTGTGCCATGGTACGTAGGCAATGTTTAACTTTCTTTTTTATTTTTACAGGGGCTCACAGCTAAGAGCTTGCTTTGAGTCTCAGTGGAAACTTTGGACTTAGACTTTCCAGGCAACTTTTAAGGATTGACTAAATGAATTTTGCTTAAAGAGATAGACATAAAAAAAAAGAAATACACATGACTCTTTTGGAAGCCAGGGGTGAAATGTTACGTTTTAGACTGAGAATGTCCCCCTAAAGCCTCATGTACGCAGAGGTGGGTTTATGGAGGTAACTGGTTCATGGGGGCACTGTTCCCATCAGCGGATTCATCCACCAGTGAATTCAGTGGCTGTAGATGCTGTTGGGAAATGGGAGCTGATTGGAAGAGGTGTGTCACTGGGGGTGTGACCTAGAAGGATGTGTCTCTCCAGTTCTCGATTCAGTCTCTGCTTCCTGGCTTCCATGACTTGAGCAGATTTTCCTCTTCTATTCCCCTCTTCCATCCTGTTTTCTGCCTTGGAGCCAGCTGACCATGGACTTACTGTGAGCCAAATTAAATCGCTTCTCTCAAGTTGTGGATGTTGGGTATTGTGTCCCACTGATGAGAAAATGACTAAGATACTTGGTTCATGTTCCCGCGTTTTTTGTTCTGCTTGTTGGCTAAGGTAAAGTCTAGTAAAATAAACACAGACATAAAGATTGAGAGGTAGAAATTGTATCATTTTTTCCTCCTACATAGACGCATCACTTTCTGAATATCTTCATTTAAAAATTATAAAGTTCGGGGCAGAGGATTTAGCTCAGTTGTTCCGCTGCTTGCCTTGCAAGCGCAAGGTCCAGAGTTTGATCCCTGGTACCAAAAAAAAAAAAAAAAATTATAACGTACACATAAGGCAAAATTGGACACTTTGATCATTTGAAGAGTACAATTTAGTGACATTTAGTACACTTGTTACCAGAGTCCTAAGGTAGAGGGAGGCCTGACTTCAGAGAGTTTTAGTGGACTGGGTCTAGCTAATTGTCCCACAAATTACATGGAAAAGGTAATGGTAAAGTGGGAAAGGAATTTATTCATTATGGCTACATTGAGAAGGACCAGGAAGACCAAGTGTCCTCAGCCTTGTCTTTGAGGAGCTAACAAGATCTTTGGGGTTAAATTGGGGAGAAACAAAAGCAGGGTGCAAGAAGTATCTATAGCTAAGCAGTCTTGCTCAAACAGTAGTCTGGTGGATCATTTTCAGCAATAAGAAAGTTGCTGTTACCTTGTTAGGTGTGGCACCTACCTTGTTAGGTGTAGTTTCAGCTCTAGTCACAGGATATTGATTGATCGGACCTGTTTTTCCTGGAATTCATGGTGACAGCAGGAGAGAATGACTCAGACAAAGGCAATTCAGAAAGACAAAACGGAGTTAGGCCTTCAGCTTTAGGGCAGTGACTAGAACAGAATGTTATAAAAGCTAGCAATTAACAATTTGTTCATTTTGATGTCTTACAACCTCAAAAATATCTTAGTTAACCCTTATCTTGGTGCTTTCAGCCCTGAAGGGGAAGGGTTAGCAGTTTCAGATGAACACTCCTTAAATGATTAACATGAGGCAGAGTTGAACAGCAATCTTTTCCAGTTTTAGGTAGCAAAAGAGACAGATGCAAAAGGAAGGCAGAGATGCCAAGCTCTATCTTATTTCTTGTTACCCATTGGACATAGGCAGTCCATGGGTATGGCGGGGGACACCCAGACACCCAGATCCCAGAGCATGACCAGCAGGGTGGGTGTGTCCCTGAGCACTTCCTTCCTGTCACACCCACAGTCCACATATATTTATATAAATCCTCCGACTCTGTTCTCAGACACCAGCATAAACAACTGTAGATGCACACTCACTCTACAGGCACCATGCAGCTCGTGCACTGCCCCAACTTCAGGGTCTGCAGACACAGGCTGTAAGGACTGAGCAGATACCTTCGGCAGAGGTGGCCTGTTTCCTCCTGTTTCCTGCTCTCTTCTCCTTTCCTCTCCTGTTCCTTCCTAATAAGACACCCAGAGTCTGGAGAGACATGGAGGTGAGTCGGGGCAGAGTCAGGGGGCTGTAGGAGGTGATGTGACTCAGGAGAAGGACAGACCTGCAGGTATGAGTCAGATTCAAGGGAGGACCCCATTTCCCACACAGCTATAGGCCTGCTGGCCCTGTGCCTGAGGCCCGCCAAGATCTCACTAGGGGAAGACTAGGCCAGGTGCCACAGGTCACAAACCTGGCTGACAGCAGCAGGGCCCAGGTGTGGGCAGCTACCACATGGAAGGAAGTGTGGCATCTCAGGGAGAGCCTGCATGAGCAGGTGAGCCCAGGTGTGGGCCCACGGACCCTCTAGGGGCTTTCATGCAGTACTGATCTGAGGTTGCAGCTGGGCCCTCCAGGGAGGAGAGGAGAACCTTTCCCATCCACATTCTAACTGTCGTAGCACCCTATGACATAGGCATGAAAGTGTCGTCACTCTCACTTCACTGAGGAGGACACTGACTCAGAGGTGTGGACTCAAGATATAAACCCAGGTTCTGGGGAGCCAGTGAGTACTTGGGTGGCACCATGCAGGTGCTGTACCCTCTCTGTGCCTCACAGCCTCACCTGTGAGAGCAGAATACATCTGGTTCCCTATGGGGTGTCTGCAAGGGGCCCTTCTAGAAAGAAAACAAATGCTATTTCTAAAGAGCCCAGGTGATGGGAGCTGTCTCTCTCCTAGGGTCCCAGAGAGGTGCCACAGGGGCCTGATGCTGAGTCCACTCCCAGCCACGTCCCCCTTCCCCTCCCATCCCAAGGATTTGTCCTCTCCTTTCTACCCTCTCCCCACTCCCTCTTGCTCACACCTGCTGTCTCCAACTGTCTCACCCCACAGTTCTTGGGCATCTGAGCTGTTTGCAGAGCTGACTGAGAGGGCCTAGGGGCCTGGTACCACCTACTAGGCATTCATCTTCCAGGGTCTTCCAGTGAAGACCTACAGGGAAGATGAGCCATGTCTCTGGTGGCCAGTAGAGTGACCTGTATGCAGTGATGCTATGGTAGGGGTTGGGGAGGAAGCCCCACAGGGGCTCATGGAAACTGTTCAGAGCCCACTCGATCTGGACACTGACCAGGTATTTACAGTCCCGATGTCCAGGCAGGCGTGGCTCTTTACACAAGAAAGTCCTTTTTCCACCAACCCATTCTCTGTTTTGTGACCCCAGGCATTATGTCCTCCCATTCCTGTTTCCAGAGCTGTAGAGCAGAACATTTGCGCAGGATAGACACCAAGTCCCATCAGCTTGCTTATCCATCCCCACCTACCCCAGGGCCCAAGCTTAGCGGGAGCTGCCCAGCCTCAGCAGCTCAGCCCGTAGGTTAACCCAGTTGCTTTTGCTAATAGAGGAATCAAGCAATGTCCCCTTTGCAGGAGATGTGTGTCATCATTGTCATCACCCCTTACCCCAGGCTCTGGCTATGTACTCACCTGTGTCCCCACTTGAGTGTCCATTCTTTGGGAAGCCACAACACTCCAAGAGGACTCCTGCTGAATCACTCAGGTCTCCCTCATGTTAAGGGAGGCTGGGGAGGCGGAAGGACATGGGCCTAAACAGATCACCTGTCACCAGCATGTGGGCTTTTCCTGGGCTCTGGCACTGTGACTGGCCTGCAGATGCTGCTCCTGGTCACTTGCCTCCTGGGGCCTTCTCTGCATGTGCTCATGCAGGTGAGAGCAGGAAGGGGTGGTCTGATGGGCACCTGTGAATGTGGGACAAGATCACTGGGACCGCAACACTATACAGGCGTGTTTATTCATTCCCACCCATTCCCACTACGAATTTTAATGCAAAGAAAAATAATAAAGATGCCTCCCAGCACAAGCTTGGTGAATTATAAAATGTTCACACATCTCATACTGTGATTGAGCCCTGCCTGATGATGACAAAGATGTTGACTGATTCTGGTTTCACGTTTGTAAGAGAAATGTCCTTAAATCCTTTGTTAGCATCTGATTCAGTTGGTCAAATCAAATTCATCCCCCGGGAGAGGAAGGGAACAGTTGGGGTGGCAGGAGTAGGGGGGGATGCCCAGGAAATGTATGATAAAGCCTAGGAAGAAAAAAAGCCACACTGCCATCAGTTAGCCTATTTCCAAGTTTTTGGAGATCTTTTTCTTTGCACACAAATGAGGATACTGAGGCCTATAGAAGTATCTCCTACCTCTGGTGTAATGAGAACCTACCACAGTCTTGCATGTGCACAGATGCACGGATGCAGAGAAAGCTCCCAAATCTTTCTCCCTCGGCCACAAAGATGTACACACAGCCCCTCCCATAGACCCAGACACATGCAGTGACCTCCACGTACTCAGACTCACAAGAGCCACATATGGTCCACCCCACAGCGGCCCCTCCCCCCCACGCTTCTGCTCTCTCTAGCCCGAAGTACTAGTGTTGGGTGGCAGTGTTGCCCTGAGTGCTTCAAAGGAGCCATTCCTGTCAGAAAGCTAGTGAGATGGCCACGGTGGAGGCTGGGCATGAGTGGAGGGAGACCCTCAGCCCCCAGAACACACCTCAGGGTGGGTGAGAGGAGAGAGCAGTACTTCTTCCCTAGACCAGCGCCCTGCTTGTCTGGGCAGCTTCACACCATGCCCTGGGAGACCCGGCAAGGCCCAAGCCATGAGGTCCAAGTCCTATGGAGAAACCCAGCCCCGCAGTGGGCAGGACAACCCCTGGTCTCATGAACACCTTCTGTAGTCGATGGGAAAAGGCCATCAGGGGAGGGGGACAACCCTGCTATGGAAGGGCAAGGCAGGAACTCTAAGACTGAGAATCGCTGGGGACAGAATCTGACGTCTCAGGTCTGCCTGTGTGAACTTGGGCCTCTCTGGGCCTCAGGCTCGGGGTCAGTGCAGGGTGGGGGCTGTCCCAGGGCTCTAGCGGGCCCTTCCTGGCCTGATGATGCCTGATGTTTTTCTCCCTCCCTGTAGGTTTGTTACTGTCCAGGGCAGAACCATTGGCTCAGAGCCCAAGGATGACAGAGTGAAGAAGGCAGCCGGGTACCTGCGAAGCCCCATGAAGTCACATGAGAAATCCTGGTAGCCTGTCCCCTCGGCCTTCTCTGCCCCACCCAGAACTGCCTGGCTCTGGGGACAAGGAGGAGGCTCCTCACCCGAGTTCCCTGTCCCTGCACACAAGCACTTCTCTTTAGTCTGGATCAGTGTTCTGTCCCACCCCAGCCTGTCACCCAGGCAACATCTGGGCCCACTTTGCCCATTCAGGAGGAACCAGAAGCTCAGAGGAAAACAAGGGGCTGAAGGGTACTGGGCAGGGGGGAGCCTGGCCGAGGCCCAGGGGTGGACAGGGCTGCAGTGCCATGGGCAGCTTCCTGCAGGCTGGTGGGCCTCTGCGGTGGTGGTGGTGGGGGGGGGAGCTCCCCGTCCTCTGGCCCTGAGCTCTCCACCCCCTCCAGAGCACTCCCCCACTTTTGCGTTACTCTTTGGCCTGACCCGGACCGCCGACCGTGCCCTCCCCCCTTCCATGCCAGTGTGTTCACTGCCCTTTCGAAGGCCAGCACTTCACCAAGTCCCAGAGGAGCTGCCTCAGCCTTCTCACCAGGGGGCGCCTAGGCCTAGGGGCAGGGCAGGGTTCTTGCAGCCCCTTCTAGCTCCCAGGTCCCAATCATGCTACAGACCCGAGGTCCTCAGTACCTCTAGCACCTTCCAGGGCTCCCGGGGCTCCCCTCTGGCCCGAACCGGCTGGGCCAGACCCTGCGTCCTCTGCTTGCTCTTCGCCCTCTGCGGCCTAAGCCTCCCTCCTGCCCCAGCTTGAACTCCTACTGCTTAGGTCGGTCCCCAAGTGTGGCCCCCACCCCCTACCAACCACCGAAATCCCACCCACCCTCGGTCCAAGCCCTGCCTCCTGGAAGCCTTCCCGAACTGCAGAGCACGCACAGAGCCTCTCTCCTCTCGCTGCCTCCTGCTCAGGACCGCAGCGCGGCCTGCCACGGTAAGCGGCTGCTCAGAGCCCGGCCCACGTGGTGCCCGCGGGGACTGGGGCGCGGCTGGGCCCACAGACTCCCCCCCCCCCCCCGCCGGCCCAAGGCTGTTTCGCCGAACCTCGTGCTGGCTTCCGTCCAAGAGGAAGGTGCCCGTGTGGGGCGTCCGTGCCCTGCGCTGGGGCTGGGGCGAGAGGCCCTGAGGAGTTAGCGCCCTTCCACTGCCCCTGCTCCAACATCAATCCAGGCAGGGCGCGACCCCGGGCCACGCTGAGGCCTTTCTGCGGTCTTCCTCCGGAGGCGTAGCCTTCTGTGCTCGCTTCGGCAGCACATAAACTAAAATCGGAGGAGTAGCCTTCAACGGCAGGCCCAGACCCACGGCCCAGGCACTGAGTTCCTCATGGAAAAATGAGTCGCGGGCCTGAGGTGATGGCAGAGACACAGAGGCCCGGAGGGGCCCCCCAGACCTAGCAAAGCCCTGCAGGCCAGAGAGGAAAGGACGCTCAGTGAGTCACTGCAACCTATTCCTACACAAAGCCAGACTAACCTGGCGCCGTGGTGTGTGTCTGAAACCCAGCTACTCGAGAGGCTGAGGCAGGAGGATTGTGAGTTCAAGGCCAGCCTGGGCAACTTAGTGAGACCCTGTTTCAAAAGAAAATAAAAAGGGCTGGGGATGTATTGAGGACCTGAGTTCAGCCCTCATTACTGGAGCAGGCCGGTGAGCAAAGCCCTTCCCCCAGTGAAACCTTAACTTCCAGGAGCACATAAGGACAAGGGCTATTGAGAGGGAAGTTGCTGGAGGGCGCCTGAGAATGCTCGGGCTTTAAAGTCCCCCAGAAGCTAAGCAGTGGATCCTGGACAGAAATCTGAATGCAGAATTAGGAACCGAGAGTTACATAGTGGGCCCGGGGTGTGAGATGGGTGGGAAAAACAAGGTACCATAAAGGAGAAGGGACCGCCACCGTGCCCGCCCTGGGAAAGGGACTTGTGAGGGACCATGCGAGTTAGAGCGCCCCCTGATGGTGAGGCCCGGTGAACAGAGCGGAGGGCTCTGGCCCAGCATTGCTCCTCCGCCCAGAGGAAGCTCCCTTCCCCACACGGAGCTCAGCTCAAACACCACCTACCCCTTGTGGCCTCTCTGGTCTCACGGATCAGCCTGGGCTCCCCGATTCCGATTCCGGGACTTAAGGCTAATCCTTGCTACACTGTGCCCCGACTTGGAGCTGCTGGTGATCCAAGCCAGTTGGGTGAGACAGTCACAGTGCCTTGTTCTCAGTACCTCGTGGAGAGGGTGACGACAGTGTATATCAGTAAGGGGAGAGATGTTTTCTGCTTCTGGCTATATCGTTTATGCATTTCTAACAGCAAACAGTCAATGTCCAGGTGACTCTCCGCGGGTTCTGAGCAGAAAGAGAAATTCCAGGGGTGAAGAGAGTAACAAGAATAACCAAGTGATTGGCTAGGAGGAGCGCCATTTTACGGGTGGAAATTAGAGCTGGGCTGCTCCCCACCAGAGGGCGCACCAGCCCCAAATTAAGGTCTGGAGGCTGATTGATGTTCTGTCCCCATGATCCAAACTGGCTTCCATGTTTGCCCACCAGCTGTCCCATCCCGCTACACTCCAGTTCCACCGCAGCTGCCAAGCCTCTGGGCAGGACCAGCAGCAGCTGCCTGGCTTTCCTAGGGAGAAGAGAAAGGTAAGGGAACCACAGGTGGAGCTGCCTGGAGTTCACTGGGTGGAGGGGAGGAAAGAAAAATGCTGTTGTGACTTGCAGACCTTCTAATTCATGACCTGGCTTTCCTGAAATTTTTTCTTGAGGTAAAATACAAGACACATGAAATTTGCCATTTTAACTAGACTATATGGCTCTGTGACATTAGGTACATTCATGATGTTGATCAACTATCAGCACTATCTAGTTTCAGAACTTTTTCATCACTTCCAAAGGAATGGAGCCACATACTCATTAAACAAATAGTCACTCCCCAGCTCTGCTCTCATTTTCATTCCCTGGCAACCACTAATCTGCTTTCTGTATCTATAAATTGGCCTTTTCTGGGTATTTCTGGTAGAGTCAAATAGTTTGTGTACTTTTATGTGCCTTCTTTCATTCAACCTACTGTTTTCAAAGTTCATTTCTGTTGTAATATGTATCCGAACTCAATTCCTTTTCATGGCTGAGTAATATTCTATTATATGGATATACCACATTTTGTTTATACATTTGCCTATTTATGGATGCTTGGGTTGTTTTCATATTTTGGGTATTGTGAATGAAGCTGCTATGAACATTGATGTACAAGAATCCGGGGCCCTGTTTTCAGTTCTTGTGATATATACTTAAGAGTGGAATTACTGGGTCTAATAGCAACTCTATGATTAATTTTTTCAGGGATATCTAAACTCTCCCATAGTGGCAGCATCATTTTGCATTCTTATCACCAATGTATGAGGGTTCTAATTCCTCCACATTCTCTCCAGTATGTACTATTTTCTGGTATCTCATTGTGGTTTTGATTTGGATTTCCCTTATGACTAGTGATGTTGAGCATTGTTTCTTTTAACTGGTCTCCCAGCCTCCAGTCTTTCCCCTTTCCCCAAGCTACCCACTGAAGAGTAGGGCAAGTCCTCCTTCCAAAACACAAGTCTGATCATGTCTTTGACAGCTCAGATCCCTTGGTGTTCCCAACTGTCCCTAAAAGAACAGAGTTCCTGGCCTACAACACACAGCCTCTGTGCCCTAGGAAGTTCTCCCTTTTGCTAACAGATACTTCCCCAAATCCTTGTATCCTCAGCTCTGTCTGACCAGAGCATTCTCCATTGTTCTCCACACCTATGGACCCCACCCATGCCCCTGTCTCAGACCTCACCTACTCCCTTACCCTCTCTCTGTGTGTCCCCATGTCCCCCTCAGAGTCCCCACCCTATCGTGTCCCTTCTTATTCTGTAAAGGCCAGTGCAAAGGCCTGTTTCCCTCCAGAGGCCAAGATGCACAAAGGTCATGGCCAGGTCCATAGGCTCAGCCTTGAGAGCTTGGTGCCTGGCATAGCCCAGCTCAATACAGCCATGCTGACAACCATCTGGGTGGAAGGGTAGACTCAGGTGGTTGAGGACACACAGATGTGTGTGATATGTATCTTGGGCGGTGATTTCTCTGCCCTGAAGCAGCTGCAACCTGGTACAAACTGTTTTGGTCAAGGGGGTCCCACCAGTTGCCCTTCTGCACCTGAATTTCAACCATGGCACAGCTTGGGCTCCAGTTGGGTTCCTCTATCCACAGATACCCCAAGGGACAACAGGAGGACCCTCTCTTTCCATCCAGCTATTTTGAAACCACCCAGGTGACATTAACTTGCCTCTCAATTTGAGAGTTACCACTCTCCCTGCCTCTGGCATGCCTCAGGCTGCTCCCCTTTTTCTTGTTCTTCAAGTGTCCTGGTTGAGTTCTACCCCCTACCCACCCCATGTCTTCTCAGTCCCTGACAGTCCAAGGTGCCCAGAAACCACCCAGCTCAGGCTGCTGAGGCCAAATCATCCCTTCCTCTTGCTCCCTCCTCCCTCTCCCTGCAGCCGGTGGAGGCCAGGTGGGGCCGAGCAGGCTGACTCTCCTCCAGCTCTTCTAGCTGCGAGACTGTAAGCAAATGATTTCCGTCCTTTTAAAAATGTTTTTCTGGGTTTGTTTTATTGGTACATGTTTGCAGCACATAATGAATACATTCATCATGGGCGTTAGTCCCTGTATGTAACACATCTTAATTCTTTTTAAAATTCCCCCTTTGCCCCTAATCTCTAGGTCCCCTTCCCTTTTGCAAAAGTTCTGTTTCCTGTTATCTTTTATGTTGCTCTTTAATGTATTTATACATTGGGTTTCTTTTAGAAGGGAAACAATGCAATACTTAAGCTTGTGTGTCTGATTTATTTCACTTAACATTATGGCCTCGAAGTGCACCTGTTTTCCTACAGATGACTCCAGTTTATCCTTCTTTATGGTAGAAGACTTCAGCTCTTTGTGCTCCAGTTTCCTTCCCTGGAAACGTCCCTCCCGAGGTAGCTCTGAGTGGGCTGTGTCAGTTCAGATGGTGCAGACATTACGAAGGGACTCCTAACCCCTTCTAGGAATCCTGTCCCCAGGGCTGCACTCACTGACCACAGGGTCCTCCCCAGCCTCTCTCCCTCTCCTGAGGGCCCTACGGATGGCTGACCTTTAATGAGCTTGTACTTGAAATCTGGCATCATCAAAGCCTTATGTAACTCTGGCTCTGACTTCAGCTTTAAGGAGGATGTAACATGTTGGCTCCATTTTCAGCTGAGGAAACTGAGGCACAGGCTGGCGCCCTGTCAAAGCTCATGCTGCTTGGAAGTAGAAGGCCTGGGCTCCTCACCACCATACATCCTGCCTCCTGAGACAGGCCCAGGCTTCTGACCTGGGCCCTCTCTTGCCTCTGCAATTCCTTTGGATATTGCCAAGGTCCTAGATCTTTGATTAAAAATTACTTTTATTGGTATGCTTTTGATATACGTCATGATCACATTCCTCATAGGGAATTTGTACCAGTTCATTATATATCTTGATTCTCCTTTTTTACCCATTCCCCTCCCTTCAACCCTCCTTCCCCTTCTTATTTATAAAAACTTTGCATTTTTTCCTTCTATTTTCTTTTCTTTCCTTTTCCCTTTCTTCCCTTGCCCCTTCCTTGCTCCCCTTCCATTTGAATATAAAGAACTCCTATGATTCCACCAACCTCTCCCAAACACATTTTAACAAGTCACACAGGCTTAGATTTGTATTCTAGCTCTTCTGGCCATTAGTAACTTCTTAGATAAGAACCTGTGAGGTTCTCATTCCCCCCCTCCCTCCTCCCATTACAGCTCATATTCCCAAGTTGGGAGTAAAGTCCCAGCTCTGTATGACTCACTGTTGTGTTTCCTGTGAGAATAAAAAAAAGAAAAAGAAATAGTTCTTACCAAGAACGAATCACATATGAGGATATGTATTTAGGTGCACATCAAGGTCCACTTCCTGAACTTTGGGCCTGGAGTTCCTTTCAGGTTGGAGATGCTTCAGGACTTGGGCCTGGCCTTCACCTGATGCTAGTCCCCGGATCCTTGAACAGGTCTGGTTCACGGTGCATCTGTTTGACACACAAGGGCGGCGAGGAACAGCATGGTGCGGGAGTAGGGAGAGCAAAGCCTGAGGGGGGGAATTGCTCAGTTAAATACATGGTGGGTTAGTTGTGCAGAAACAAGGAACAAGCAGGGGAAGAGGGCATGGGGATGGATCTTAAATACCACGCTAAGGAGTCAGGATTATCTCCAAGCTTTGGAGATTGTCAGTGAGGGAGGTGAAAGATTTCTGTCTAAGTAACTCAAAAGAAGGAAGCCAGTGAACCAGAGGAAGTCAGAGAAGAGAGGCTGATGAGGGGAGCAGAGCAAGAGAGGTATCTGGGGCCAAGGATTTAACTCAGTGGCACTGTGCCTGCCTTGAAAGCGCAAGGTCCTGAGTTTGATTCCCAGTATGAGAGAGAGAGAGAGAGAGAGAGAGAGAGAGAGAGAGAGAGAGAGAGAGAGGTGTCCAGCTCCACTGCCCCCTTCCCTTCCTATGGAAAGGGTCCTCCAGCCTGAGGCTTGTGCAGAGTTTCTCAAATGCAGTCCCCAGGCCAGCACCACCATCTCCTCCTCCACCACCACTACTGCCACCACCACCACCATCTCCTCCTCTGCCACCACCACCACTCCCATGCAATTTGTTAAAAATAAAACATCTTGAGGCAACTGTAGACTTCCTGAACCAGAATTCTGGTGGTGGGCCCAGCATTTGGTTTGAACAAGTGCTCTGGGGGATTGGGATGTGTGCTCATTTGAAGAACCACTGGATGATACAGCCATAGGGCTACAAGGCTTCCTGGACTTTCAAAGGTCCTGGTAAAAGATGCCAGGCACAGAGCCAGGCATGTTCAGGCCAGAGCAATGGGAAGAGAAGGAGAGTGCTGGCCCCTCCTCCATCACCCATTATTGGCTTCAGCCCAAGTTCAGCCTTCAGGAGCAAAGGGGATTCACCTGGAGAAGAGACTCTCAGCTTATTTTTGTCCAAACACTGGCTTTTGTAGGGCAGCAGGAGCCCAATCTCCCCAGTTTCTTGCTTCCCCTTGGCCCCTGCCATGAACTTACTTGTCCCTGACTTGTTCCCCACCTAAAGACTCGACACTGATGGAAATGTTGGCCCGATAGGAGCTCAGCAGAGTTGTGACCACGCCCTGGTGATTACCAGTCATTCGTGCCCCACTTACCTGACCCAGGTTCTGCCGTTTATAAACAGTGGCACTGGAGGCGGGAGGGTCCAGGTGGGAGAGGAAGCCCTAGGCCTGGCTGAGTCTTCGCTCTGCTGACTTCCAGTCTGTAGGATCTGACCTTCTCCCTCAGAGGTGCGTTTCCTGCCATGGGGATCTGTGGATGCTTATCTTCCTGGCCAGGCGATAGAGACGGTCTGGTAAGGGGAGGAGTCTGAACTCTCGGTTTTGGGACAAGGGAATTGATGATATTGATTCTACTTTTTCTAGAAAACCTTGTCTTATTAGGGTGAAATTCTGGTTAACATGAAGTCAGAAGTTGTGGTTAAATTGCCCTTCACTGCCTTTATACTTGCCCAATTTCTCAAAGGGAGCATGGGCAGTAGATTCATCATTTGTCTGGGGTCCTCATCGCCCTAAATTGGGAGTGCCGGTGGCCCCGTGCCTCTATCCTCCCAGTTAACAGAGGCCAGGTCCATCTTAGGAAGAGGAAGTTCAATTCATTAAACAACAAAAAATCATGAAGATTCTCATTTGGAGGAAGATGAAACATCACTTGGCCAAGAACGAGGCTTCAGGGTCAACAATTTTTAACTTAGGTTGAAATATCCACAAATGTACAAAAACTATACCAAGTTATAGTGACTAATCTCCCTCCTGTTATTCTTTCCTCTTTGCCAGTTTCAGTCCTTCAAAAGCAACTATTCTTCCCAATTCATTTTGTGTATACAGACATGGATGAAAATAAGTTCTAATTTCCATGTCTCTTTCACACGAAAGTTGTATATTTTGCACATTGTGATGAACTTTGCATTTCCCCCCACTTAATCAATATAGCTTGGGGTTTTCCATGTCTGTGTGTCTTTGGTCCTTTCAACAGCCATGTAGTATTCCCTCTGTGGATATGATGTCGCTGATCCCTCCTGTGGTGTTTTTGGGTTCTCTCTGGTCATCATCTGTCACAAACAATGCTATAATGCTCTAGTGTGTATGTACGTTATTTTGCACATATCCAGTTGCACCTATAGGATAAATTCCTTGAAGTGAAAGTCATAGATCAAAGGGTCACTGCATTGGTAACTCTGATGGATATTGGTTTCCTTCTTCTAATGAGGAGGAAGGCAAAGGAGTCAGACAGGGCAGGGTTTAAGCAGCTTCTCTGTGCTTTGTAGCTGTTTGATCCTGGGCTTGATCCTTACTGGCTCTGAGTTCGTTTGTTTGTTTAGCTCTGTGGTTGAACCCCGGGCCTTCACACTGAGCAAACCTCTCTCCCCTGCCCTTTTATTTCAAGAATGAGTCTTGCTGAGTCACTAAGTTGCCCAGGCTGGGTTGAACTGGCAATCCTCCTGCCTCAGCCTCCCAGAATAGTGGGATTACAGATGTGTCCCACCATGCCTAGCGATAGCTCCAGTTTTAAAAGTCTATAAAATGTGACCCACATAGGTTTAGTGTACAGCTTCAGTGACAGAGCACTTACCTGGCACGCCCAAGGCCCTGGGTTTGATCCCCAGCACCACAAAACAAAGAGCCAATAAAGTGTGCCCCGGAATGGTTGTGAGAATAAAATGAGATCAGCTGTGAAAACATTTAGTTCAAGGTCAAACACATAAGGAGAGCAATACAACTTCCTAAGGGTAAGCGGCCCAGGCTTTCCCTGGTGCCTGCCGGAGACTTTGGTGGGAGCCAAGGATTGAGCCTGGCCATCAAGCTGTGGCTGCTAACCAGAGTCCCTTCCCTGTGCCTGCCTGTTATACTCTGAGGTGCCACATATACTCTGTGACTAGAACCCTGGTGTTGCCAGGATCTTTCCTGGGTGACCTCACGAGCAGACCATGATGGAATCTTCCTGAAGGAAGGCACTTGGTCTGCCTTACATTCTCAGAGCTCCAAAGCCAGCAGAGCCCACAAAGAAGCACACTGTTTGCCACTGGACTCTTCCAGTGCTGCGTATTCTGCACACGTGACTCCATTCTATTAGTCACACCCAAGCCAACCTCCTGGTGCATATGTATACCCTTGTCCCACCCAATAAAGTCTTGTTTGCACAGCCCTGAGCTCTTCTACGCTGTCCCTCTAGGGGGTGAGACCCCAAGGCCGTGTCCCAGAGTTTCCATTGCCTCGGGTTTTAGTTACATCTGGATGAGCTCTCACTCGAAACATGTATGTCCAGATTAAAGGGAAAGTTTGGTTTTGTATGATCAGAAATGCAACCCATGTGTGCAAAAGGAAAACATACATCGTACTCAGTCTCAAGATGCAAATCCTTCACTTTTAACTCTGTTTTTCTTTTGTGGTACTGGGGATTGAACATATGGCCTTTGCACTGAGATACATCCCCAGCCCTTGTTTGCTTGCTTGTTTATTTCAGACAGGCCTTGCTGTGTAGTCCAGGCTGGCTTTGAACTCACTATGTAGCCGAGGCTAGCCTCAAACTCTTGGCGATCCTCCTGCCTCAGCCTCACTAGTGCTGGCATTATAGGCATGAACCACCAGGCCTAGCTGCCGCTGACATTTTAGGTCAGTTGGCAGCCAATCTTTTAAGATCTCACAGCAAAGGAGGCATTCTTAGAGCGTTCTAAACGATGCCATGCAGCACATCTGCATTTCTGCCTGTGTTCCCCTTCATGCTACAGGGCATCAGGACAAACTGGGAACCGAGAGTCTGTTTCTGAAGACCTTGAAGCAGGTGGCTTGGCACTTCAGTGAGCAAGGACATGAGTGGAGAGAAGGAGGAGGACTTGTTCAGGATACTCAGGATTTACAGTGAACCAGAGCCAGAAAGCTCTGATATTTTTTCGCAGCACGAGCAACCATTGCAGCACGAGCAACCATTGCAGCACCAACTGGTCAGTCATCATAGACCATCCCAGGTGTCCCCATGTCTCCCAGAATCGCAGCTTCGCCCTGTTTATCAAGAGTTGAGCACTATGACCCAGCTGCAGCGGGATATCTGGGGCCTAGATACCTCTGAGCTCCAGGCCACATGGTTTTCAGAGGGGGAGATAGGTAAAGCAGCCCAGGCTGGCCCAAGGTAGGTCTGTCTTGAACAAGACTGGGTGGGGAAGGTCGCTGCTCTGGGGAGAGGAGATCCCAGCACAGGGCTCTCCGTTTCATGCTCTGCCTCCTTCTCGCCTCTCTATCTGACACAGCCCCCCACCAGGACCTGTGCTTGGTAAGTGCTGGCCGTGACAGTGTGGGCAGGGAGGGGTGGTGGCCTAGACTGGGGAGGGGTGTCAAGTCTCCCTGAAGACTCTTGCTGCCGACACCCTTGCTTTGAATGGGTGGGTGTTGCTGTTTCCCTGCAGACCAGCCCTGCTGTTCTTCATCCTCTGGCAGCAGCATGGTCCGCTCACTCCTCAGAGCAATTGTAAGTATCTTGCTGTTCCATTTTTTGTCAGCACTTGGGAGTCTTCCTTTCCCACCTGCCCCTAATCTAGTGTCTGCATTCATGGCCTCTCTCATAGTGTTGTTCTCGACAGGGTTGCTCTCCTCCCACTGTCCTGATAGGTAGGGCCTGCAGCTCACAGTGTCACTTCCTCAAGAGATGTGACCAAGGGAAGCCAGACCCAGGCCCTGCTGTTGGATGGATGGATGGATGGTTAGGTCCTGGCTGGAGGACAGGCACAGGCTGTGCCCATGCACAGTGATAGGTCAGGACCATGCCACCATGTTCATGGCCACCTGACCTGTCCTCTCCCTAGCCTCCTGTTCCAGATAAACTAGTGGTCAGGCAGAGGACCCCACGGGGTGCCTGGAAGGTTGGCACACTCTGCCATGGAAGGAAAGTCTCTGCTATTGCCGTCAGTGGTTCAACCCACCACGTGTACACATGTGGCACCGGCTACATCCGGGTATGGGATGAGAGTGCTCTGCAGGCCTGGGACAAGTTCCCTCAGGCCCAGCTGGACCTTCAGGTGAGGGGCATTCAAGCATGGCTTGGGAACCAAGATGGGGCCCTGTTGAGAGTGCTATCGGGTGACACAAGGGGGCGCTGTTCCCACAGCACCCATACGACTGTGTCCTCACCTGCAAGCTGTTCCCTGATGAGCGGAGCCTGATCACAGGGGGCAAGGCCCAGACCCTGACTCTCTGGGACTTGGTGCCCACGCCTCGGGTCCGAACGAACCTGGCTTCTACAGGGACCATGTGCCATTCCCTGGCCATCTCCTCAGACGCCCAGATCTGCCTGGCTTGTTTCAAAGGATTTGTGGAGATCTGGGATTTGCAGAACCAAATTTTGATCAGGTGTGACCTCTCTCCAGAGGCCCTCAGGTGACCTGCGGAAGGTTTGACCCTGAGACCTCCGCTTCCCCTCTTGGCAGTTGGGCTTTCTGAGGCACCCTCGATCTTCCAGGAGGTCCCCAGACCTGCCTGTGAATCTGAGTTGTTTTTTCTCCAGGAAACATGAAGTCCCCATCTATGGGTCCCGCTGTGTTGACATCACAGGCAATAAGTTCTGGACAGGAGGTGAAGACACCATCCTATACTCCTGGGACCTGAGGAACTACCAAAGGCTGCACCAGTACAGCTTACAGAATGAGGTGCCTGGTGCATCCCCAGTGGGGTCCAGATACAGGTGGTGGAGGGTCTGAGTTGAGGACACTGGTATGAATAATGGTATTGGCAACTTTGAATGCTGACCGCAAGCCTCTTCCAAACAGATCGTCAGCATCACTCACGACCCCAGTGAGGAATGGCTCTTGGTGGCCATGAGAAACAGTAATATCATGATCCTACACACTCATCGGATGGAGAAGTTCAAGGTCATCATCGAAAGATTCAACTTCTTCCACAACCTCAAGTTTGCGTCCTGTGGTGAGTGAGGAGCCAGGGAACTCCTGCAAGCATCCTGCTTTGAACTCACATTCCTGTCTTCTTTCTCTGCTCGTCTCTTGTTCCTTTCCCGGCTCTCTGTAAGAGGAGCTTCCTGTACAGAGTGACAGAAGCAGCACAGAGCCCCATCCCGTGGCTCTTCTGTCAGTGACACCACGGTCCTGTGTGTGGCAGGAGGGTGGGGATGGGTCAGGGATGCCTTGAGTCGTCTCTCATTTTCATAGGGGAGGAAACTGAGGCAGAGAAAGCGTTACCCTTGCCCTAGTCTGGTTGAGGACAGAGATGGAGCTAGAAGGCAGCTTGGGTCCCTTGCCTCTTCACTCATTCTTTCCTTTGGCAGGGAACTACTTTGTGACCACACTGGACGAGACAATCCGAGGCTTAGCGGCACCTTCTCTGCAAAGGCTGTTCCAGGTATGGGAAGGAGGGATGCACACGGCCGGGCACTCGGAGCTCGGGGGTCCAGATCCAGTTGTTGGATCCCAGAGAGTGCTGGAAAATACCATTTGTTTTTCCTAGTACTGGGGATTAAACCCAGGCCCTTCACACTGAACTATATCCTCAGTCCTTTCAAAAGTTTTTTATTTTGAGGGCTGGATGTGGTGGTGCACACCTGTAATCCCAGCACTTGGGAGGCTGAGGCAGGAGGATCACTGGGAGTTTGAGGCCAGCCTGTCCAGGGGATTTTATAGAGTGTGGGAATTAAGGACTTAAGGTTCCGTGACTTGTGGCTCCACCCTGGGCCCTGGGACTTGGCCTGTTTCCATGCAAAACTTGAACAATCCTAAATGAAATACCCATGTCTGGCTCAGGCATCAGGCATGCATGTCATGCCTCATTCAGTGCCTCTTTCCCTCTAGGTACAGGAGTCTTCAGAGATCTTCTGTTGTGATGTGTCTACTGATAACAAATATCTGGTCACGGGCTCTAAGAACAGTGCCACAGTTTACCAGCTCTTATACTGAAGGTCCCCTGCCATTGCCCTGCCAGTGAAGACCAGAGAAGGCCAATGTGACCTCGGGGTATTGGATAGCTTCAACTCCTGCCACCCCCTCAGCCTCAGCCCAGTGGCTGGTCACCTGTGCCAGGCACTTCCAGCTTGCCCTCTGGGTTTTTATTTTATGGCTTAGAGCTTTTGTTATTTTTCTACAACTGATTTCTAGGAAACTTTGAGATATAGCCTTCATACTTAATAAAATAGCAAAGCTGAAATCAAAACAACTTGGATATATATGTCCATTTCTTTCAAGTTACAAAGCAATTATGATGGATTACTTATGCCTCTAGCATATTCTGGTGGTCATGATTGGGCCATACTCAACATATTTAATGCCACTGAACTGTACACTTAGAATGTTTGGATGTTGAATTTTTAAATGTATTTTAAACAATTTAAAAAAGAAAAATCTTGGGAATTATAAAGATGGAATTCAAAATGATGGCAGTCTCTATGGAGCGAGAAACGGAGAAACGTTGGCTCATAAAGGGATAGAAAAGAGGGCTTTAATTCCATCTGAAATATTTATTTTTTCAAAAATAAATCAAGGTTTATGAAAATAAAAACTGCATGCTTCAAGGACATCACAGGAAAGTGAAAAGAGAACCTATAGAATAGGAAAAAAATATTTGCAAGTTATATTTCTACTAAGGGCCTTGTATTCACAATGTATAAAGGACTCTTACAACTTGGCAATAAAAAATAGAACCCAATTTTTTAAAAAAGGGATTTGAATGAAAGGACATTTTTCCAAAGATATACAAATGGTCAATAAGCACATGAAAAGATAAGATGTTCAACACCATTTGTTATTAGAGAAATGCAAATCAAATACCACTTAGTACCTGCTAGGATGCCTAGAATAAAAAAGACAGGAACAATGTGTTACTGAGGATGTGGAGGAAGTGGAATTCTCCTGCGTTGCTAGTGGCATTCTAAAACCATAGAGTCGGGCCGGGGATTTAGCTCAGTGGTTTCACTGCCTGCTACGCAAGCTCTAGGACCCGAGTTCGATCCCTGGTACCAAATAAATAAATAAATAAAACCATAGAGCCACTTTGAAAAACAGTTTAGCAGTCTTCAAAATGTTAAGCCTAGTGTTACCATGTGACCTACCATGTGACTTCCACTCCTACCTATGAGTCCAAGGGAATTGAAATTGAAAATGAAGCCTCATACCTTGGAAGGGTAATCATTTTCGAACATTTTTGTTATTGTTGTTCTTGAGATAGGGTCTCTGTGTAGTTCAGGCTGGGCTTGAACTCACTGTAGCCCGGGCTGGCCTCCAACTCAGTGTTCTCCTACCTCAGCCTCCCGAGTGCTGGGATTACAAATGTGCACCACCATACTTGACTGGAAGGGTAATAATTTTCAGTGATAGAGTCAAAGGAATTTTAAACTCTCTGTAAAGAAAGCAAAAGTCCCAATTAATAGTAGCAGGAGTCAAGGAGTAACACTGTAATCTCTAAGTTAATTACTAAAACAATATTGAAGTGTACAGCTTACAAACCAATAGAGGAAAAGTATGTATATAATAATAATAATAAATCAATACAAAAGAAGAGAAGAAAGACGATCAAAGAACAGGCAGGACAAAAAGCTTACAAAATGGAAAATATAAATCCAAATGTCAGTAATTATATTAAATGTAAAGGAATTAAATATTCTTATTCTCTACAGATTATATGACTAGATTAAAAACTAGCTATATGTGTTCAAAAGAGACATTAAAACATAAGGGTATGGAAAGTGTGACTATAGAGATAAAAATACTTCATATTTACAATAAAGAAAGCTGATGATGTATTATATTACATAACACATATTATAAAACAATATTTGAGATAAAGGTGAATACCTGATAAATTTAATTCAAATTCGATTCATTTGGAAGATACAAGAATTCTATTTGGGGCTGGGTTAGAGCACTTGCCTAGCACGCCTGAGGTGTAAATTTGATCCTCAGCCCTGAAAAAAGTATTGTTCTTATGCATTTGTTAATCTAGCCTCAAAATGCATAAAGAAAAATTAATAAGATGGACAAATTTACCACTCACAGTAACAAGTAGATAAAACAAAAAACATAAGGATAATGATTCAAATAATGTGATTTGAAAACTTAGAACAATGCACATAAGGTAATCTTTTTACTGATCAAAAGAGCTTTTTTGAATCCCAAAGCTCAGATTGTGGTCTGCGGATACTCTCCTGGGCGGAAGTTCTTATTTAGGAAAGCACAGATTGTATTTTCTCAGGAAGGCTTAAGGGGAGCAGCAGGTGGAAGGAAGAGGAAGTTCAGGTGGTCTTCCTGGTCAGAGCACTGTCTCCCTGGCAGGGGTGGTCATCTTGATCTTGGGGTGATTATAGATATCAGGGAAATGACAGGTAGACCGTGGCGTCTGGCCTTTTAGAGTGGAAGGGTTTCTTGCACCTGTCGGTGAGCCCTCTGCTGTAGCAGACAGGAGGTGTGGGCCTGCTGGAGGCCTCATGTGCTGCCAGTCGTGATGGGGAAGAGGAAGAGGGCTGGGCCGTGGTCCTGGGGGAGACTCCTCTGCTCCGGGGATCAGCTAGAGCTCTCATGGTGGAGGGCGTCTCCAGGAAGTCTCGGATGATTCCTGCTGCTCAGAGCGGCTTTGAGAGGCAATGCTTGTTGAGTTGTCTCTCCCTTGCTGTGTTTGTCTAAAATGTGCTTTGAATTGGAAATTACCAACTTCTGTGCCAGGAAGGACAGTTCCTATGTATTTTTGTTGAGAATGGGAGGACTGTGAATTCTGCAAGATCTTCCTTGTTTTTCTAAATATTTTTTCCAGGTCTTGGATTTTGATTAGTTTCTTTTTTTTCTTGTGGTACCAGGGATCGAACTCAGGACCTTGGGCTTTGATTATTTTCTTTTGGAGAAAAGATTTTGCTACTTTACTTCCTGTTAGTTGTCTTGCCAAATAACTCTGAGGACACCATGTGTGCTGAAAGCCCTCATTAAGACTGTACAGGTTTTTGATATCATTATGGTTTAGATCTAGAATGTCCCCTAAAAGGCTCATGTGTTCAGAGATTGGGTTTTTGAAAGGTGGTTGGATCATGGGGGTGCTATACTCATCAGTGGATTATTCCACTGAAGAGGCCATAGCTAAACGTGCTGTAGGAGGTGGGGTCTGGTGGGAAGAGTCGGTCGCCATGGGACATGGCTTAGAATGAATGATATATTTCCTTCCTTGACTCCTCCCTTCTCTCTCTGCTTCCTGGCCACCATGATATGAGCAGCTTTCATCCACTAGACCCTTCCACCATGCCCTTCCTGTCTTCGAGCCAGCCAGCTCTGAACTGCTGAATCCTTAAAAAGCCATGAGCCAAAATAAATCTCTCCCCATTTAAGTTGTGGGCATCCCATTTTTGTCCCACCAATGAGAAAGTGACTAAGAGTGGTGGCGAACCTATGGCATGGGTGCCGCAGCCAGCTGTTTGTTACTGAAAGCTCTAAAAGGTTCACCATCGCTGGACTAAGATAAACGTTGATTTTTCAGAAAACCATAGACCCTATGAAGTAAATAGTAATCTTTCAATATGCAGTTTTTCTTTTAGCCAGTGCTTCACTGGCACTTTCTCTCAGTGTCATTTGGAAGATTGCATCTTGCTAAGATAGAAAAATGAGGTTCAATCCTTCCCTTTTCCCTTTGACAGTCAAAAAGGGCATGATCTCACTGACAGCCTTTTTGTCCCTCCTTGCAGCCCCAAGAGTGGCCTGGGAGAAATAGCTTCAGTGTCTTCCTGCTGCAGCACCTAGGTTGCTAGGAGCCATGGCTTAGTAGCTTGGTTCAAAACCAGGATATCCCTCCTCCACACTGGGCCTCTCAGGCGCTACCTCTGTCTGAGAAGCAGCTGGAGAAACATTCCCAACAGGACACAGATCTGGGACAGGGAGCCTGCTGCTGTTATCCCCCAAATCTCCAAACCCAACAAGCCATGATCAACAGGACTGTGGATTATGGGGACATTGTGCCCCTTGGCTATGCCTATGTGTGGCATTCTGCATTTCTTTTGTGGGTAGCCAGGAAGATATGGGAATGCTGACTTCCAGGGTTGGTCCTCTGGACCTTGTGAGTTATACCCATAGCCCAAAACAGTTTGGGTGGCCACTGACTGGGAGCTGCCAGGACTGGGGCTACTGGGACCAGGGTCCCTGGGGAAGAAAGGAGGGGATAGCACAGGGGTAGGTGTGGGGTCCCATGCTAGGTGAGGTGGGGGCCACTGATGACTGGGTACAAGATCCCACTGAACCCTTCTCTGGCCTAAGGGAATTGGAGAGAACAGACTAAAGAGAGCAAAGGGCGCCAAGGCACCATCTTCCTAGGAGAGCTCTCCAGGTATGCTCTGGCTGTACCACCTGACCTTGGATCAGACCTTTCAAGCCACCCATTGGCAGGCTGTGCCCCATGCATTTCATGGTGGGTCAGTTGTGCTGCTTTGTGCTGCCTGTAGACCCTCCTGGGTGTAGAGGAGCCCACCCCATGATGGGCAGCCTGCTTCTCTCGGCCTGTCTCTTATAAGACTCCCTCTTTACCCTCACGTCCTTCCTCTGCCTTTCTCACCCAATCCCCAGCCCATCTGAACCCCACAACTCAGCTTACTTCAGAGAGATGCCCATGCTGACCTAGAAAAGTTACTTTTCTGCAGAATGGATGCCTGGAAGATTTGCTTTTGTCTATAGATGTGCTGTAGTTTGCAGTGTATTTTTTTCCCGTTTCCATTCCCTGAGTCTCAAAAGTATTGGTTGTGTTTTTGTATGATCAAAAGCATTGCTTTGGTGCCTTTATTTTTGAGGGTTGACTTGACTGGATATAAAATCCAAGGGTCAGGGTGATTTTTCTTGAGGGGCCTCCTAGTGTTAAATGCTGCTATGGCAAAGTTTGAGCACAGCCTGGTCCTCATTACCTCATTAGGGACTCCACACAGGCTGCTTGGTTTATTCTGTCTCTGTTTCAAAGTGCAGTGTCTATTTTTGGATGTATCTTGGTGTGGAGGCAGTGTAGGTTCTAAAGCCAGGTGGGCTGGGCTTAAAACCTTCTGAATCCATCCCTTATTAAATGTGTGGGATTGAGAATTTGATATCTCTGTGGCTTTACCTTTTCTTCATCCACAAAATGAGAATAATAATAGCAACTGAGCCTATAGGATTCAATAGGATGGGACCTGGGACATAGTAAGTGCTCAGTAACTAA